GGCGCGCGCCCCACCCGCCGGTCGCAAGATGCCGGCGTTTGTCAGAAACCGGGCACTTGTTCGACAACGGGGACGCGTAAGCGCCCAGCCATTATAAAATAGCAATAACCTTCCCCGGCGTTCTCATCTGCTGGTGCCCGGCCACGTTCAAGGTACGCGATTCCCTCGCTGAAGTGTAACGGCGTGCCTGCCAGTCCCTCGCCGATCCGCCTGTACTCCGCTTTCCCGAGTCATGAGGGCCTCTTCCCCGCCTGCAAGGAGAACGTGGACTGGCCTCTACGTGACCACTGCGTTAATTTCTACTCTACTGCGTTAAGCTGAACTTAGGCCCTCCAAGGGGCAGAGCGCTACATGCTATTCAATTCCATGCTTTATTTAGCAGCAGTGTTACCTTGGAAGAAGTAAAAACAACGTTGTCTGTAAGCAGTAAGAACATAAAATAATTTCAAAAGTTTTTACATCGAAAATCTTTAACAACTTTTGCAGGTTAAAGGAATCATTAAATGATTGTCTTCAGTAGCTTATTCTTGGATTTCATAACTGAGAATACTGGTTTCAATTAGTTCTCGGTATGGCAAGCAGCAGTAACTTTTTTTTTTTTTAAAGAAACCACCCCTTGCCCACTTCATGATATCGCTGTAACTAGTTTGTAGATGCCAGTGTTTTTTTACTAGTTGCCTCTTTATTACCTCATCATCTATCACATTGTCTATGCTTTGTCAAGCACATAAAATATACAAAAAAAAAAGGTCATTCCAGGATTAGCAACATGCTTAGAGTAACTTTTATTTGAGTACTAAGCAGAGAACCTTCAACACAGCCTGCTCCTCCTCATGTAGTTATCCACTGAACTACCTATGCACACCTTTTGACTTACTCGACTGATTTACGAACTATCCCGGTTTTAATTACTGGATTCCATATAATTAGGCCAACAGGTTTTCCAGTCACACCTGTACTTTGAAGTGTCGTGAAACAAGTCTGAATGAAACCCTGTATGTTGATAAAACATGAACCATCAAGTTCCACGCTTGTAAAATTTTGAGATTTTCCTTGCCAATGCCTTGGTCATGAAGCTTTAGATGATGTATCTGTATTGACTGAAATAAAACAGTTTTAGACAACTTCACTTACACTACTACTAGTCTAAATTATTTTTGTACTCACACAATCTAGTGTGAGGTTCTGAATGGTAAGGAACTGCAGTTAGCACTTACGCTTCAGTTGAGTTTTACTTCATTTTAAGTTCCTATTTCAGAACACCAGCAGCAGAAGGGATGTATATGAAAAACACAGTTTAGCCATCAAAACCTGCGTAAGCTGCAATCAGCTGAGTGCTTTCCTCATGGCTGCAGTTCTCATCCTTCTTGGCACTATTCAGAAGATAACGTACTAAAGTCACACTACAATAGTCTTCAAATTAAGAGTTCTCTTAGTTGCTGCTGTAAGGTATTCTGCAATATTGTGTACCTTTTTTAAAGTAGGGCGAGATTTCATGAGTCAGCTGAGCCAACCTAACTTTCTGCTAGAAAGAACAGCTTTATTTACTCGTTCTAAGGAGTCCTGAACTGGCTCCTCATTTCTGCTTAATAAGCTTGGCATAAAACTAACCCAGCACCAAGAAAATCCTTGCCACTTTATTAAGCTGAATTAGCCTGCCTGGAGCAGGGGGTGCAATGTCAAAAGCCCCACATTTGGGAGGAAGACAACTGTGAAATCATGTGGTGACAGCTCACTTACTCAGGAGATCTCACTCCAAACAGTAGTAACTCTATTGTCCCTATCAGAATGACCTAACATGCAGGAGAATAATCAACCGCACAAGGAACAAGACAGGGGACGGTGTAGGTATTTGTTCTGGAAGTACAGGAGGGCAGAAATAGAGAATGCAACCATGAACCAACAGTGTTGTTCAAAAAGGCGACTTGGCAAATATTCAAGAAGGGAAAGTATCTATTGTATATGACTGACACTGATAAGGCACCACCTAAAGCACAGTATCTGTAGATACTGTAGAGACCAGCCAGAAAATACCATACAAATGACAATTTAAAATATCAGGGTTGCTTCATGTAACAAATAGGAAACTGAAAAAAAGATTATCTTTTGAGTTACTATGTCTACCTTCCAATGAAGTTACGATTGCTTGCACATCTATAGGGGGTATCAAGCAGAGCAATAGTTTTCACATTCCTTTTTCCAACACCTAAGGCTCAGATGAAGCATAGAATCTATCTTACTCACTTCCAAGGGTAAACAGAAAAATATCTCGGATTAAGTTTTATGAATGATTTTTCATGTGAAACTCCGTAAAATTACTGAGTTTATATAAGCTGTCTTGTTAAGATGAGGCAGACAGAATTCAGGATTTTTCAGATAAAGAGATAGGACAGTAACACTTAGCATTTAAGTCATTAACATCTACATTAGCATAGCAGAAATCAAATGCAATACTTCCTACATTTGTTTTAACTTATAAGCCAGGGAGTTATTGACAGTATTATTAACTCTGCACATTAAGTTACTAAAACACCCTACTAATCAAGTCACACAGTTCTCTTCTTCAATACTGTACTCCCAATTCATATTCTATCTTTCAGCACCAGATTTCTTCTCAAAAAAGAATCCACGAACCAAAACAAACAGCCTTTCGGTTATCTTAGGATTCAACAATTAGCAAAGCAACAGGTCATACTGCTTTAAAACCATTTTGTAGTTTGCACCAATGCTTTATTTGGAAGTGAACTGCGATGCCATTACACTATTCAAGAGTCACATAACTGAAGACTTAGAGTTAAGTGCTGCTTGAACCACAGTAAGAGAGGGCAGAGGGTTTTTTCCTTGTTGGAAGGAACAATGGGATTTCAAAACTTGACATGTTTTGCACTGTTCATAACAGGTGGAACCACGTAAAATCAAATAATTGGTGTAACATATGTAAATGTTACATATTTTCCTGCTATTTACAGGTATCATTGCAGTAACCGTCACTCATTTTGAGAGGGCAGATCAAAATGTCTGCTAGTAGGAAACGGTTGTTTCAGATACTCTTTTTCATTAAATTCCTAATGCAGAACATACAGAGCATTTAAGTTAAATATAGCCGCAGACTTTCATTGAAACAAAAATTATGAGCAAGTTCTCTCTAGTGTTGGAGGAGACATGAAGGATCACTGTGAGTTAGCAACTATGAGACCTCTTCTCTTGGCTGTCAATCAGCAGCCAGAAGCTGAAAGACTGAATTCTTTCTGCTGGACTGATTTATTGCCTCCACAAAGTTTCTTGTTCCAGGCAAGGCTGTTTAAGGCTGCTCCTTAAAGAGTTTCGCTTGGCATAATATAAGTAAGATTAGGACTTTCATAAACATGCTACTACTCAAGTCAGAGTTAGGCTGACATTGCATCTTCTAGTATACAAGATAGGGCATGAAGCCTTCTGGATCTTTTGACTTCAGAAAAAAAAATATTGAGTTTTGAGGTTTTTTTCATCCTAGTTGAAAATCATTGGTAGTAACACAGGATTTTTTTGTTGTTGTTAGCTTAAATCTAAACAGTGTGAGATGCAGTGAATTTCTAGTCACATATCTTTAGAGAGTTTACTGAAATATTAACATAATCAGTGTTCAAGAGGAAAACCTGTGTAAGCGCTCTTCCAAAATATGGTTGAGTATTCCTAATTGGAAGCAAATTGCAGTGGCATCACAGGACAACAAAAAGGAATTCAAGTACATTGAGGTCCCAGGGGATAATTTTAGAGGAGACTTGGAACACGACTGATTCCTCTCCGTTAAGGAAGAATTTCACAAACACTGTTACAGATTTTCTCCAGGGGACTGAAAGTGTGCATCTCCTATATAATGTACTTCATTAGAACTAAGTGAGAGTCACCATGTGGTTAGGATTCAAAATTTCAATCCAGTAGCCATCAGGATCCTGAACAAATGCAAGTCCTTTCATTTTACCTATTAGGAAAAAAAAATACAAGATAGACTTAAGACTACATGACTAGTTCTTAATGTCAAATATGACTACTTTGAAAAGTATTTTTCCTTTTTTTCCGTTTGCATGAGAATTAGTTCAAATTTATACAGCTAATTCTGAAAACATCCAGATTAGTTTTTAAATCAGCATTAGATCTTTGTATGCTACATTGTCAATCTTACTCTCAAAAAAGCTGTAGTTTAAAGTCACTTTGAAATTGTATCTTTTGTTGATTGAAGTAAGTTTTCTGCATATGCCCCTGTAAGTGTTCATCCTCTAAGTTCAGAAAAACATTTTTGTGCTCCAGGATGTTTTGACATTTTCTTGAAGTGGCTTTGTGTTCAGGAAAACATCCTGTATTCCTCTGCCCTGTTCATCTCCCATCATTCCTGCCTCCACACTGAAGTTTTACGTTACTGGTTTTTGTTTGGTTCCCCCACCCCACCCCAATGTGGTTTACAGTACACATTTGCATCACTTCATAAAACAGAAATGCAGGGCAGGAATGTTTTAAATTTTACTGTTGGAAAAAATATTACTCATTAAAACAGCATCCCCAAAAGTTGCCTTCAACAGTAGATCGGGATAGCACAGCTTAACATGTTATCTTTAAGTGTTAACCACACACGTTAATTATACTTGCTCTATTAGGTTATTTACTGTAACAGAACCAAGCTAATTCTTAATATATTCTAGTTACAAAAACTTCTCAGAGAATACTAGATGTTTGATTCAGTAATGTAGGGAACAACCCCCAACA